AAATACAATATTTAACTAAGGGTAAAATACACAAATAGTCCCCGACTATAGGATACTACTTTATGGAGTCTATTAATTATTAAAAGTTATAAAATGGTCCCTTGATTATAGGGAGTTATTTTGTTGAGTTCATCAACTTTTAAAAATTACAAAATGATCACTTAACTATTTATTATGTTCAAAACTCATCGTTTTCCGTTAAACAAATAATGGATATTTGAGTTGCACGTTAACATGTTGATTGATATATGATAGTTGTTTGAGATAATGAGATCGAATTTGATCATATCTCAATCACCAGATTAACTTACAACTCAAACATATTATATTATTTTGTTAGGTTAGTAAAAAATAATGAGAAAAGTAGAATGCAAATTAATTTTTATTGATTATTATGGTAGTCTATACCTGCCAATAAAATATGAAGTTATTGGTAATTAAGTAAAGTGGTCACGTATAATAATTTAAGGATTTATTTTAATTAAAAAATAATTTAATTATTTAAAGTAAACAATATATAAGTTAAATATTTTTTTGCTAGTTTAAGAAAGATAACAAAAGAAATTAAATTAAATTTACCATATTTGTGTTTTTGTATTTATTTATATATAATTTACATACTAAATATAAATTTTTTAAAGATAAATTACATCATTTATCATTCAATTATCTCATCATTTATATTTTGATCACTAAAATTTAAAATGTTCAATTAAGTTTTCGAATTTCTCCTATCACTTTAAATTATTTCATTATTTTTTTTAATATGACATGAAGAATTTTATTAATATTTAACACTAAGATTTTTAACAAAATTAATTGAAATATATAATTTCAATCTCCCAACCTCAACCTCACGACTCTACCTTCACTTACCTCACCTTAATGTTTGAAAAAGAATAATATAAAAAAGACGTATATGAACGAGTTAGAATATGATTTTTTTAATTAAGATTTAATTTTTGTTACAATAACTTTAGTGTCGAAACTCAATTGCTTCAATCTTTGACTTTCAAAGTGTTTCGGTAACTCATTTCATTCTCTTGTTGGAAAATAAATTAGAGTACTTATCGCTTCTTCCACGTACTTAGGAGGAATAAGTAAAATCCAATCGTGCTGAAGATTTTATTTATCTTTATATGTATTCCAAAAATCTAACATTTAGTTTATATTTATCATACTTGTACTCAATAATTTTAAAAATTAACTCGTCCCGTACTTATCCGATGTTTATTTATGTATTTGTATCGGTGCAACATAAAAAATAACAACATGAAAAATCTATTTTCTTTTTTGGTTGCCATTCCGGTTTCCAAAGCTTCGCTTGGATTAATCCGGATCGATTCAAGTCGCACACCTAGCTTCGATGGGTGAGCCTCATAGCGAAAATTTTCTACATTTACAAGAATTAGAACTCGAAACAAGCTTAAACAAAATCAAATTGCTTACTATTTGATCTGATCCCATTGATAAAAAAATATTTTTTTATAGTTTTACTCCTTTGTAATAAAAGATTAATAAAAAGACTACAAGGCTCGAAATGAATAAATTACCCCCAAGTATAATGAACCTAAGACACGAAAGCTTTAGATAAATAATAAGTGCGTGAGTAACTTATGATGATGACTAGTTCCTGATGCATGACTATTCTATTGTGTTTATATGATGATTTAATGGCAAATAGCCCATATGGTTCTTTGATTACGCGTGAGCTTTGAGTAGGGACGGAGTCATAATTTTAATTCAACGGAGTAAAATATAATTAATAATAAAAAATGAAAAGAGTAAAATTAAAATAAATCAAACTTTAAAGATTTAAATAAGTAATTATCCCAATATTCTTTAAATAAGTAATTTTCGACTTTGAATATTCACACTAATGACATTTATAGTGCTTAAATTCGGTTTCTCAAAAAAATAATAACAATTCATTTACTACATAGACCACTTAATTCGTGCACATTTAACCTTTGTTACGTCTACCTCTGAACTCATAAAATTTTAGTACGTCTTATTCATAGTGCATTACTTGAATTTTTTAGTGTGCATGCGCATTCATATGATCTTTCAAGTTGGTTTGTTTCATTCATAAATATTAAGATTTCATCCTCCAATTTTGCTTAAAAGATTTAGTATTTATCTTATTAGATTAATTTGTTGTTAGTACACAAAAATCAAATTAAATAATTAAGTAATTTAAATATTTTCTTTAGATTAAATAATTAGGATGGGTTGTTTAAATAATTTCTTTGTTAATAGACTTTTAATACATTAATATTATATAATTTTATACGCTATCAATAAATCAGATCATAATATATTATTACGAATAAATTTTTTTAAAAAAAATTTAAAATTTAAAATTATCTAATTCATATTTATCGAATATTAATCTTAATTTTAGTGGGTGAGTAATTTCCTTTCGGGTAAAATGGCTATTCTCTCGGCCTTTTGTAATGCAACTTGCGATTAATGAAAAGCTACTAGTCGCAGGTCAGGTTTTGGTCGATTTAGTACTGTATTTTTCCCGGTTATTAGGGTTTTGTATTGATTAATTCGAATTAATTTGGTCGCACACCTGATTTTCATGGATGAGTCTTACGATAGAAATTTTCTACATTTAGAAGAACTCAAACTCAAGACATGTTTAAGTAATATCAAGTTGTTTACCAGTTGAATCACACGTAACCTTTCTCTCCTTTTTTTAATTAATATTTTGATTAAATTATGAAAACATGCATGGAATACTAATTATCCTTACAAAAGTCTGCGTGTGACTGCGACTTATATGACTTAGTAAAGATAGAATATTTTCTTTTATTCCATTATCAAAGTTTGAAGGGTAAATTACATTAGGGGTCACCCAACTATGGATATGTTTCTTTTTTTATCACCTAACTATAAAAATCGTTTCTTCATAGTTTGAATCAAAATGATATAATGCGTAAATGTTAAAGACTAAAATTGTTAATATATTAATTTTATAATCAACCAACAACCCAGTCTTTTTTATTGAGTGATCAAAAAGAATCTTTTATAGTTGAGTGACCAGAAATGAAACTTACCTATAGTTTAATGACTCTTTGTGTAATCAATCAAATTTATGATGGAATTATTTTTTTTCCTTTATTAATTGAGGTAAGTACAAAGTAATATAGGTACAAAGATAACTCTTAACTATTTAATATTAAACACTTACACTCCTGATATCTCTAATGCTCGAACTCGATACATTAAAGAATAATAACAATTCTTTTATCTCTGAGATCGCTTAATTCGTGTTTTTTTTCATAAAATATAATTATAGCCTTATTGGTACTCGAATTTCAATATAGTCTATTTTCTGTTAATCATATACAGCTAATAAAGCCAGGCGTGCAATTTTGAACATTGAATTAATAAAACCGTGGCTGTATATATATTTATCAATAATTATTATGGTCAACATCAAAATTCAAAATTCATTTACATTGACTAAACATAAAATCAATTTCACCACCAACAAATCTGTTTACTAATTTGCTATTATATTTTTTTCCTTTTTTTTTAATTCCTTGGGGTGGGATTTCTACGAAAAATTATTAGATGATTCCAACTTATCACATAATCTATAGTCTCAATCAATAGAATTCTTTCATCTCATTTTTTAAGTTAAATCCTTACATCTTTTCTACATATAAATAAAAATTAATATTTATTTTAAAATTATTTTAAGATAAATAAATTTTATTAATTGAGATTACAAATGATATGACAATCCGAATCCATACAATAATTTCTCGATTTCTACACATTTTGCGCGTTATGGTAAATCCCACGTGTACTTGCCAATTGGTTCTCAAACCCAGCAGCTAGCTGTCGTCCAATCAGAACAAGAAACTTTCAATTGCAGGCCTAATGATTTTTTTAGTAATTTCTAAATTATTTAATTAAGATGTAGCATTAATTGAGTATGAGATTTTTTTAAGCAAATATAAACCCCTAAATTTATTTAAAAATAGATAAAAGGGTCACATTTATTCCTATAATATATATAATTTATAATTATAGTTCATATCGTATTTTTACATTAATTTAATCCTTAAAATTACTCAATTACATAATTCTACCCTATTTCTTACATAAACCTAAAATTATAAGCCCTAAACATTAAACCATAACTCCTAAACCATAAATCATATATCATAAACTCTAACTTAGGATTTTAAGTTAAGAGTAGGATATAAAATTATGCAATTAAACAACTTTAAGTGCTAAATTGATGCAAAAATACGATAGGGAAGAAAATGATAATTTGAATCTATTACATGGGCAAAGATGACCCTTAAACCTAAAATATAATATTCAAACGTTACAATAGATATATAATTAGGATATATATCTATAATAATTCACACCATAAATTGATCATTTGAGATAATATAAAGACCATACAAAGAAAATGTTAAAGATTCATCTAAAATACTTGTGAAAGACAAACGATAATCGAAAATCAGAATCAGATGTCATGAGAAAACTATTTTCGAATGCAAATCGTGTATCTAAATCTAATATAGGAATCTAAACCAAGAAATATCAACATGATAAAAAATAATTGTTATCTGAATCAGGATAACAAATAAACATTAATTACGTAAGGAGAATATTAAGATTAACGGTGCTTGAATTTTGGATTTAAGAAAATAGTAATTAATCTTTATTATCGAGATCATTTGTTTAGTATATATATTATTATTATATTTTTATTTGATATTTTAACATTCTATTAATATTCTTATCATATTTTATAATGCCAGTAGTTATTGAGATATTACACCATCACATATGTAACGTATAAAATAAAATTCATATGCTAAACAGAAAATCAACAAATTTAAGTGAAACCGGCTCAGGCCGAGCTTACGACAACGCGTAATTTGGTGTAGGATTTATTTAATTTACATAAAAAAATTAATTATTTAAAATTGAATAGTATATAATATTGAAACCAACCATCTTTTTCTGTTATCATTCTGTTCTCTCTAATCTTGCACGGTTTACGAACGGAGGAAGAAACCGTCGCCGGCGATCAGTGGCGGAGCTGTGACCGGAAAATATATTTCCGACAATGGCGAGCTCAAGGGGCATTTCGGTTTCCATTTTTGTAGTTCAAGCTTTGTTAGCTTCGGTAGCTTTGGTTTCTGCTCAAGGATCCACTAATGGTTCTCGTTGGCAGACACTAAACGGTGCGTTTATCTCTTTAGATTCTTTCTTTCTTTATTTTTTGAATAGATTGAATGACGAGAATTTTTTGTTGTTGGATTAGTTTCTTAGTTTTGATCTTTTAGCTAGTTTTGTGTTTGACTGAAGAGAAAGAGGAGAAATTATTGAGAAATAGTTTGTGGATCTGGATGCATGTTCAATATTCCTGAGTTTTGCTTAATCGTTGGCTTTCCGTTTCCTCGAAAGGGAAGGAAATGATAAGAAAATTGCTCAAAACAAGCTTACTTTGAGCTGCTTGAGCTTTTAGCAGATTCGTTGAAGTTAATTTTCTTGTGCTATGCTTGAGTTTTAGCTAGTTTGGCTTTGGCTCTTTTGTTCTCCAGTATTTTTGTTTGTGTGCAAAGAAAACGGAGGAAAAATAAAGAGAAAATTTTGCGATCCTTCAAGTAAAGGGAAAAAATGAAATAAAGTTTTGTCTAATTTCTCTTTAGTTCGTACAAAAGTGGAAGAAACGATGACAAAATGTATGTTTTTAATAATTTCCAACTCCAAGCCTATCAAAGTGGAAATATTTTCCTTAATTATGAATAAAATTTGACCTGTTCTTTATAGATTTATGATCCTTAGTTTGAGGTTTACTTATTTTCCATTTGGTTTCTGAGAATATTAATGAATTACCAGAAGCAGTAACATAAACTTAGGTTTTCTTGTCTGTCAATCAAAGTCAACTGCAAGTAAATTTTCCTTTTTTGGTAGGTCATTTGAACATTTATTATTTCAGGTGTCCTTGAAATATAAAGCTGTTTTTGAGCCTTATATCTGTTTCATTTATTCACTGGTAGATATTTTCCCAATACCAAAGAGCTTGAGCTTTCTCCTAGTTCATCTCCTACCTAATAGATTAGACATCAAAGACTATTAAAATTTTCTGTTGTTCAATAAGATTAAACCATTTAATTGCTTCTACAGGGAGGCCGCCCTTTGTCATAGCACGTGGTGGATTTTCAGGAATATTTGCGGACTCCAGTTTTGGAGCTTATAGTTTGGCTTTGTTAACCAGTGTACCTGATGTGATATTGTGGTGTGATGTGCAATTAACAAGGGATGCAGCTGGGATATGCTTTCCTGATCTTAAGCTAAATAATAATTCTGACGTGGCAAATGTATACAGTGATAGGCAAAGGACTTACCTTGTCAATGGGGTCTCAACAAAGGGATGGTTTTCTATTGATTTCACTCTCAGGGAAATTGGAAGCGTCATATGTAAGTTTAACTCATGATTTACTCCCCCGTCATAATCAATGTTCTACTAACATCATTCATTATAGGTGTCCTTGCTTCATTCTGATTATTACCATTACCTTGTCAAACTTCATGGAATGGATTGTTAATGAACTTACGAGTGCCAAGTTCATAATACTGGTGTCAAATTAGTTTTTAGTTTTAAATCTTAAAACACTAACTCATTCCCTAATCACTACCTAGTTCAAGCAATTCTGAAAGCAACTGGGTATCAGTTCTGAAATGGTCACGCCAGTTGCTATGTCAACATTATTTATTACCTATAGAGTTTCAGCATTTTATGTAAGGTTGTTTTGGTTTGACTTGCTTCAATATGTACTAATAACAAATTCTTCTCTGCTTTCTTTTGTTTGGTGTGTCACAACCTAATGTGTTATTTGTCATATGGACAGTGACTCAAGGTGTCTTTTCTCGAACCAATAAGTTTGATGGCCAAAATTACCCGATTATGACTGTTCAGGATACCTATACGCAGTTGAGTCCACCTGGTTTTTGGTTGAACATTCAGGTAAAGGATTTGTCAATGCTTAACAATGCCTTCTTACCCTTTCCATCGTGTATCATCTTATCCCCTTGTTAAATTATTACAATTCCGTCTTCCTATTTATGGATTTAATTGACAGTTTTTGTATTTTGCAGCATGATGCATTCTATGGGCAACACAACTTGAGTATGAGAAGCTTTGTACTTTCTGTAACTAGAAATGCAAATGTAACTATTGACTATATCTCATCACCGGAAGTGGCTTTCTTGCAAAGCATTGCACCAAATTTCCGAAGATCAACAACAAATCTTGTCTTCCGATTTCTAGGACAGAACGATGTGGAGCCTTCAACCAATCAGACTTATGGTTCTCTCTTACAAAATATCACATTTATCAAGACATTTTCTTCTGGAATCATCGTTCCCAAGTCCTATATTTGGCCTGTAGATAGACAACTTTACTTACTGCCTTCTACTTCTCTTGTCTTGGATGCTCATAGAGAAGGGCTACGAGTTTTTGCATCAGAATTTTATAATGATGTTCCATTTAGCTTCAATTACTCCTATGATCCAGTGGCTGAGTATCTTCAGTTTGTTAACAACGGCCAATTCTCCGTTGATGGGGTGATATCCGACTTCCCGATAACGCCATCAGCAGCTATAGGTGAGTTATATACCTATGGATGCAATGTAAATCCTCAAAGCATTCTTCAATTTGTTTTTGCATCTCATACACTGATATCTACATTTAAACTTATATAACGATCAAATTCAAAGTATTCGTAAGGATCATTACTTGTCTTAGCGACTTGTGTTGTCATCTTGCAAATTTCTTCTGAATTTTTCTAGTTTTAACAAATTAGAGAGTATATCCTGCTTTATGACTAGAAGAGTGCTACAACCTATTGTGAGATCCGGCCCATAACAAAGAGTGCACCCAAGAATCTTGCACTTTTGGTTTTTACTCTATAAATAAGAGGGTTCTTACTAATTGCCATTACTTTTTGCGGCTGATGGATAAGAACATTTTTCTGTTGAGATGCTAACTTTCATTTAACGTTGCAGATTGCTTTGCTCACCTAGACAGAAATGCCTCAAAACAAGGTATGCCATTATACAATGCTTCTGATTGAAAGACCTATTTTCTTGCTAAGAATTGGTGGTAATGGCCATGAGATTGTGCGTTTTAAGGCACCAACAATTGTTCTAAGGTTATCATTGAACTATTTTCTTTTTGCTGACATGCTACAGTGGACCTTTTGGTCATCTCAAGTAATGGAGCAAGTGGAGACTTTCCTGGTTGTACAGATTCGGCATATTCAAAAGCGATCCAAGATGGTGTAGATGTTCTCGACTGTCCTGTTCAAATGACAATGGATGGAACACCTATTTGCTTGAGCTCTATAAATCTCATAGATAGCACAACAGTGGTTCAAACAAGTTTTAGCAATCTTTCAACAACAATTCCAGAGATTAAGCAGGGCAGTGGAATATTTACCTTTAATATGTCTTGGAATGATATTCAAAGCTTGACACGTAAGTTAAATCCAGTTCTTATTTGTTTATACTTTTTTATACTGAACTTCTGCTTTCTAACATGTTGAAAAAAATGTTTTCCAACTCATTATATAGTTTGCAGTTTCTGCATTACTTTGCCTTATCATCAAAATCTGTGTTTCAGTTGCTGAAATTTAGCTGGCTTCTTATTTCTTTGATAGATATGGTTTGCATTAGCTTTTTATGAACTTCCTTGTTTTAATCTACCATTACTTCACTACAGCTGTAATATCAAGCCCCCAGTCAGAGTTTGAATTGTTTCGAAACCCGAAGTTCAGAAATGCTGGGAAGTTCTTATCATTATCCGAGTTCTTAACCATGGCAAGGAATGCTAGCTCTATTCAAGGTGTCTTGATCAGCATCGAGGTCGGTTCCTTCCCTTCTATATTTTTGCTCTTCAATTTTCCTGCATTGGAGTTCTGTAATTTTATTCTCTATTTCTTCTTACATTATTGAACCTAATAATGGATACTAAGAGTTTAAGCAACAGTGACTGTGAGTGGTCGCTATTGTTCTGAGAAACAGTTTAATTAAGGAACTCAACATCTTTTTAAACGTTCACATTGCCTAAATCACTCTTGAACTACAATAATTCTATATGAATATCTCATGATCTTTCCTCTATATGGGTAGCAAATGTCGAAATATTTTGTTGACATTGAGTAACAAAATTTCCAATCCTCCTCTCTTTTTGGTGATACGTAATCGACCACTCCGGAAACTCTAATCTGCTTAAAAACTTCATTCATGATGATTAAAGCTAGCTAAAATTTTTCTTATGAAGAGTTTATACATTTTTGACTTGTTTATTCCTTTCAGAATGCGGCTTTCCTTGCAGAGCAAGGATTAGGTGTAACTGATGCAGTGATCGATGCCTTGAGCAAAGCAGGCTACAATAACCAGACAGCTCTGAAAGTTATGATACAGTCTAGCAATAGCTCTGTCCTAATGAAGTTCAAGAGTCAAACCAACTATGATCTCGTTTACAAGATTGATGAAGATATCGGTGGCACTCAAAATTCAACGATTGATGACATTAAGAGATTTGCTACTGCTGTGGTAATTAGCAAGGACTCTGTATTCCCCATAAATTCATTATTTACCACTAGTACCACGAATGTTGTACCAAGGCTACAAGCTGCGAATCTCTCTGTCTATGTCCAAACCTTCAGTAACGAGTTCACATCTCAAGCATGGGACTTTTTCTCGGATGCAACTGTTGAGATCAATTCATTCTTTGTGGGGGGTGGTATTAATGGTGTCGTTACAGACTTCCCGAAGACATCTAATAGATACCGCAGTAAGTGTTAACTGGTTGAATTTTAGCACTGCTATATGCTGAAGCTATAAAATTTCCTTGGCTTCAGGATACTGGCCTTGCATTTTTATGAAGAGAATATGAATATCTCACAAACCAGTACTGATGAGTTTTGTAGGGAACCGATGCTTGAACAGAGGCAATCGTACACCTCGCTATATGAATCCTGTGCAGCCTGGCAGCCTTTATCAACTAATCACAGCTCCTTACTTGCCACCAGCTGCAGCTCCAAACCCCTACCTGACTGATGCGGATGTTGTCGAGCCTCCTTTGCCCCCCGTCACCGCGAAAGCCCCAACTACTTCTCCAAATAGTACTGCAGCTGCCCCAAGATCACCAAATGGACAGCCTAAAGTTGCAGCATCAGTCATCATGCCGCTGTTGACCGTGCTTCTAGCCATTTCTTTACTGTTTTGAAACCGTCAGAAACCCGGCCCTCCCTTAAACCACTTTCCTCCATATTGTGGTATCTTATTGCTTTGATATCGAGTAGGTCGAAGGTTCGGTTGCAGGCGTTCCGAGAGCCCAAACAGATGTTAATTCTTTTAGCATTTGTTTTTGCGGGTTTGTTCATTCTTCTCAGTTGTAATTTTCAAAGAAACACAAAACTCTTGAGAGGTACATGTCTTTGATGCCTATTTGATTTTGTATAAAGATATGGTGTGATTATTCTTTTGGGCAAAAGTTTTGGATTTGGACTAATATATGTTGTGTTGAACATGAAATTGAAGTTGAATTCATGAAAATAGAAGCAGATAAATCTGCAGAGACACAAAAACCAAAACCACAGCTGCATATTATATAACCCAAAAATAATAAACAAGGAAAACAATAGCATTTATGAATTTATAATTCATTACGAGTTTGTCAAGATTAAACTTGGCAAGACTCGCATGATTCAACTCACCTCATTTGTTAAAAGAATCGTTGTTGTTTTTAGAGATCACGGGTTCGAACATCAATGATTATAAGGGTGATTGAGAGCTAATTGTTTGGTGTTGCATATACTTTGAGGATTACTTTTATTAAGGGTGCTACATATGATAAAAGATGAGAAAGAAACAGTCCACTTTCATCATCTATGTTAATCGCCGTTAACGGCGAGCGATCAATTTTTTATAAATCGATGATGTTAGTGATTAATTTATTACTTTTAAAATGTTAATAGAAGAAATTAACACTGACTCAAACATTAATACCACGTATATAATTTACACATTATATAATTATGCTGGAAGTTTATCACCAATAAAAGTAATTAATACTAAATCTTTATATAACTATAAAGGAAAAACTAATTTAAACAATTCTAGAGATATTAAATTATAACTTACAATATTCATTATACCAAATATTATCTTATAATCACTCTAAATTATTTAGACAATTATTTTTTTTGTAAAAGTGTTGCTGCATTAATTTTTGAAATATACAAAGAAAAAAAACATACAAAAAAAACCGTAAAACAAAATTAAAGAAAAAAATCGAGAAATATACACTATTGAAGGGCAAAATTGATCAAATATAGCGAAAAAATAATTGACCGGTTAAAGTGCATAAAAATTATTTTTTTCAAGAGCGGTGAAATAAACAGTGAAGAAAAGAATATGCATATATCACATTACGTCTTCACGAAGACACATAAAAGATCTGACGTCTTTCCCATATTGCTATGACCGATGCTATCTTTTCAACTTATGTAAAAGACGTATATTATTTTGTACATCTTCCTCGAATCATATAAAACATGTTGTTTGCTCCATACTTTTCCTTAAATTACTGTTTAAAATACATTATTTAAGAAAATAATCTCAAAGATGGTGTATATCATTATATAATATTAATTATTATATATTTTGTTGCATGATATTTACTATAGACTCAATCATTTAAAATAAAATATTTATAATTTGTAAAACTTGAATGTTAGTGTCTAAATTGACGATTATAATTATATATATCATGGGGTTTTGGTCGTTGGGGGAGGTGAGGCCAGGTGAAGCTTCGTCGACTGTTAAGGTCAGGGGTTGAAATGAAGGTTTTTAAAGTTTTAGGGTTATTTCAAAATGTTTATGTTTTTCTTTAAAAAATATATAATTTTAATTTTTTTAATTTTAAATAATTTTTAAAAAAATACCAGATTGTGACACATGTCACTTAACGGGAAAATTAACGTTGTTAACGGTCTGAACACCTAAAATGATAACGTTTATAACGTTAGATACCTGAATGGGTCAAAAATAGTTTAGGCACCTATTCGAGAATTTAGGTATAGTTTGAGCTTATTTTTGTATTAAGCCATATAAATATTATATTTGCATCTATATATTAATATTAGTGGTACATTTTATTTGATTTTGCGTTAGGGGTCAGTTACACATGAAGACTTTGAGGGGCATAAGGGGACCATTGGAGCAGGTGATGTTTCAATGGATGACTGCTGGAAGAGGCATTGTCCACTCAGAGATGCCTGCACCACAAGGAACCCAAAAGGGTCTTCGACTTTGGGTCAATCTCTCCTCCAAATATATAATGTAAGTTCAATCTCGAAAAAATGGGATTTTTAAAATCGAGGACGTAAATCAATAAGACCGAATTCGGATTCAATCGAAAAAAATTAAGAAAAAGTTTTGACGTATCAAAATAATGTAGTTCGAATTATTGTATATGTATGTACCAAGAGTTTAATCTTTATTTTCATGTTATTATTTGTAGGATTGAACCAATGTATCAAGAGATGCCAAGCAAGGATATTGTTGAGATCACAGAAGATGGAATCAAAATTAGGGTTATAGCCGGCGAAGCCATGGGAATAAAGTCACCGATCTATACAAGAACCCCAACAGTGTATTTAGATTTGTAATTTTAAATAGTCGGTAGACTTAATAAAATAATATTTTATAATTAAAGGATCGTTTTGTAATTTTTAATAAGTAATAGACTTAATAAAACATTACCATAGGTAAACTTAACCCAAAAATTCAAGCAAACTAAACTCCTTGGATTTTTAGTTTTCACTTTTCAAACTAAAACCAATCATTACAAGCTTGAAACCCTACTTTTTTTTATAATAAAAAAACATAATAAGAAGAAAAATTCATCCATGAACAGGGAAGTATTAATTTACGTCAAAATCATCATAGCTCTATTTGCTCTCAACTCCATCATTCTTTATCATTACTTCTCGTCCACCCATCCCAGCCACCACCAACATCTGGCGGTGAACCACCACCGCACGGCGGACAGCTCTCCAATAAACATTCCATACCGAAGACCCCATTCATCAAAGTCATCACCAATCATCCCATCGAAGCCCTGGCATATCATCCCATCATACTTGCCTTGGTCTTTGAACCCAAACGTAGTTTTAAATTCATGTGAAGCTTATTTCGGAAATGGGTTCACGAAGGTAGCTGATATTTTGCCCGCAAAGGTCGCCTTGAGAACCGGGTCCAGTTGGTTTCGGTGCCATCACTCCGAGACGTTGAGGACCTCAATTTGTGAAGGTGGGAAGATAAGGATGGATCCTGGGAAGATTGAGATGTCGAGTGGAGGTGAGAAGCTTGAGGATGTTATTGGTAGAAGTGAAGAAGAAGAACTGCCTCGGTTTCAAGATGGAGCTTTTGTGGTTGAAGGTAATGGGGGTTCAAAGAGAAGGAAGCTAGTTGGGGAAGGGTTCTTGGATGAATTTATACCTGTTGACGATGATGATTCAGGCCATCCTATCAGGGAATCAATTGGGTCTATTGTTATTGTTGGTGCAAATGATTTTGATTGCCAAGAGGTTAAATTATATTTCCTTTTATTTTGATTACTATTTAATGCAATGCTCAATGTCAGAACATATGTTTAATAAGGCTGATAGTTTAGTTCGGTTAAAGTTAAACGAATTGATATGAATATATATCGGTTTATATTACGGTTCGTTTACATGCTCATATTTAGTTCTAGTTTTATGGACTCTGACGTGAGAAGTTCTAATTACAGTGGGTGGATGAGCCTACACTTTTGGCAACAAGATTCGAGTATGCTAACCTTTTCCACACGGTCACCGATTGGTACAGCGCGTACATGTCTTCTAGGGTGACCGGCTTGCCTAATCGGCCGCATTTGGTCTTTGTCGATGGTCATTGTCAGGTACACATTGATCGGTATTCCATGTTCGGTTTCTATTGAGTTTAACTCGTTTGCCTGGTAATAGTTTATGATCTTTTAGTTGTTGGCTGAACATTTGCAGACACAATTAGATGAAACATGAAAATAATTTTTTTCAAGCCTTAGATTCACGAAAATCTTCACTGGTCCGGTCTGTTTCCGCCATGCTATTTTCTCACCTCTGGGAAACGAGACCCCATTATCCAGAGGACTCGGTGAAAAAATAGACTGTCATGGAGTTTCAGCTCTTGACCTAGTACAAAGTCCTGATATCCACAAAACTGCTCGATTATCCGAGTTCGGAGAAATGATAAGATCCGCTTTCGATCTTCCGGTAAACAGACATCGTGCCAGTAAGGCAGCCTTGGGTCATAATGTTCTGTTTATCCGTCGAGAAGATTATTTTGCACATCCACGCCATGAAGGTACAGTTGAACAAAGACTTAGAAACGAGCAAGAAGTGTTTGATTCACTATCGAGGTGGGCATCTGATCATGTCGAATGCAAAGTGAACCTTATCAATGGGTCGATTGCACATATGGCGATGAAAGAACAGGCTCGAGCCATTCAAGATGCTTCGGTTATCATCGGCGCTCACGGTGCCGGTCTAACACACCTGGTATCTGCATCACCAAAAACGGTGCTTCTCGAGATTGTTAGTAAAAAATTCAAACGTCCACACTTTCAATTGATCGCACAGTGGAAAGGGTTGGAATCTCATGGCATTTACCTTTATGGACCATATGCCAATCCTCAAATCGTCATTACTCGTCTTGACAGGATAATAAGCCATCTTGGTTGCTAAATGAAGGGCAATCTGTTCATTATGCCTTCAGACTTGGCCTCACACGATTTTGCTTCTTCTTCTTTTCTTCCTGGAATTGTCTAACTGAAGAAACATAGAAGAGGGACTACAAGGATAAAGGAGACGTTGAAATCTTTCTAGTTGATTATGGATTTAGGCAATGTTCATAAATCCATACATGGATAAAAAATTAGGGTTTTATTTGTTTCTTAAAAAATGCAGACTTACAGATTAGATTTGATTTTCCTCCCTTACATAGTTGTAACTTTGACAAATCCATGCAATAATCTCCCATTCAATTCAGGTTTCAGGGGAAAGGGTCTCAAACACTCAACATACTTCGAGAACTTTAGGAGACACAAGGAGAAATATGTTTTCGAAAGAATGATCTCGAAATCTAACCTTGAGAAGTCATAACCCGTTGATATGACCTCTAATAGGTCCACGTAACCTATTTGAGTCAAATCTATCGTCAATCGATCATATCCATCTAGTCTCTTAACCTTGTAGTAATTATAATAACCTTACACCTAACAGCTAATTCAAAAGTCATTATAAAACTATTTGACCAAGATCGAAAGAAAGAATGACACCATCGATTATGATTTTCCGTCCAAACAACTAAAAAGAGTAAACCATCCGCGTAACTCATTTGATCCAATGGACAAACCCTTATACTCGGCCTTTTCTTACCAGAGAGGAATATGATCGCCTTGTACACCAAGCCATTATGACTAATGCTTTCAATATTTAAATGAATTATGCATTACTGCAATTTAGACCTTTTGTGATGAGAATTCAAGAAAAGATACATGATTCCGAAAATTACACCAACGAATTTGAGAAAGTAAGGTACTGGAGAATGGAGATTCGTGATTTCGATGGTAAAAGAATTGTTGGTATCGTTTGAAGTATCGGATTCGAACACTAATTAGGGTGTGAACGTTTAATATTAAATGGTTGATAGTTAATAAAAAATTTAATTAGTTCGAAATTTTATCAATAAAATCTACGAAAAGATATGATAGATATGTACGATATCAAAACAAAATTATATATTCATCGTTATGATACTAACTGCATTTCTCTTAAATCATAAAGTATTCAAGTTTGATCACATCAACCTATTTGAGATTTTCCATCTTCAGTTTCAACTTTTCTAAAATTACGAGAGAAAAAAAACGACATTTCTATCATAATAATAAGAAAAATTCACCCATGAACAGGGAAGTATTAATTTTTATCATAATCATCATATCTCTGTTTGCTCTCAACTCCATTACTATTAATCATTACTTCTCGTCCATCCACCCCACCCACCACCATCATCCGGCGGCGAGCCACCACCGTACGGTGGAAACTTCTCCATCAAACATCCCATACCGTAGACCCCATCCATCGAAGCCCTGGCCTATCATCCCATCATATTTGCCTTGGTCTATGAACCCAAACGTAGCTGTAAATTCATGTGAAGCTTATTTCGGAAACGGGTTTACAAAGGTAGCTGATATTTTACCCGCAAAGGTGGCCTCCAGTTGGTTTCGGTGTCATTACTCGGAGACATTGAGGACTTCAATCTGTGAAGGTGGGAAGATAAGGATGGATCCTTTGAAGATTGAGATGTCGAGAGGAGGTGAAAAGCTTGAGGATGTTATTGGTAGAAGGGAAGGAGATGAACTGCCGAGGTTTAGAGATGGAGCTTTTGTGGTTGAAGGTAATAATGGAGGATTAAAGAGAAGGAATCTTGTTGGTGAAGAGTTCTTGCGTAAGTTTATACCTGTTGAAGGTGATTCAAGGCATCCTATCAGGGAATCGGTTAGGTCGATTGTTGTTGTTGGTGCAAATGATTTCGATTGTGAAGAGGTTTGATTGTATTTCGTTTCCAAGTTTTGGCATGTTAATGTTTAGTTAGGGCTCTAAATCAATTGAACCAACAAACATGAATACACCCCTTGTTCGTATTTGTTCGGTTCGTTTAAGTTCCTATGTTTAGTTCTGGTTTTATGGATTCTGACGTGGGAAGTTCTGATTACAGTGGGTGGATGAGCCTACACTTCTGGTAACAAGAGTCGAGTATGCTAACCTTTTCCACACGGTCACCGATTGGTACAGCGCGTACGTGTCTTCGAGGGTGACTGGCTTGCCTAATCGGCCGCATCTGGTCTTTGTCGATGGTCATTCTCAGGTATACATAATCACTATTCCATGTCCGGTTTGTCATCTTTCTTCTGTTAAAGTTGATCTTTTTTTCCAGACACAGTTAGACGAAACATGGAATGCATTGTTTTCGAGCCTCAGATACGCTAAAAGCTTCACTGGTCCAGTGTGTTTCAGCCATGTTATTTTCTCGCCTTTGGGGTACGAGACCCCATTATTTAGAGGACTCGACGAAGAAATAGATTGCCACGGAGTTTCCGCTCATGACCTTCAGCAAAGTCCCAATCACCACAAAACCGCTCGATTATACGAGTTCGGAGAAATGATAAGAGCCGCCTTCGATCTTCCGGTGAACATTCATCGTGCTGGTAAGGCGGCCTCGGGTCATAATGTTCTCTTCATCCGTCGAGAAGATTATTTAGCACATCCACGCCATGATGGTACAGTTGAACAAAGACTCAGCAATGAACAAGAAGTGTTCGATTCACTATCGAGATGGGCATCTGATCATGTTGAATGCAAAGTGAACCTCATCAATGGGTTGTTTGCACATATGCCGATGAAAGAGCAGGTCCGAGCCGTCCCAAGATGCTTCGGTTGTCATCGGCGCTCACGGTGCCGGTCTAACGCACCTGGTATCCGCAACACCGAACACGGTGCTTCTTGAGATTATTAGCCCGAAATTCAAACGGCCGCACTTCCAATTGATTGCGCGGTGGAAAGGGTTGAAAGCTCACGGCATTGATCTTCACGGAATATACGCTGATCCTCAACTTGTCGTTAATCGGCTTGACAGGATAATGAGGACTCTTGGTTGCTAAATGATTGAAGAGTGATCCTTTCATAAATTCATACATGGATACAAAAATTAGGGTTTGATCTTTGAATTTTTTTTGTTCATGCTGATTCTTAGTTCGATTACATTATGCAAAAAAAAAAAAAAAGTAAAGGTGAACATCCGATTGAGTCGAATCAAGTCAAAAAATTTTGACTTAATCAAGTTAGATAAACCCTATTTTATAATTCAAACTTTATTCAATTTTTTTGAGTTTAAGTAAATATTTATAATGTTATGATTAGGGATGGACACAACGGGACGAGTTAGGTTTTTGGCCACCCCAACCCCAACCTGAAAGTATATATATAATCCGATCTCTTCTCGTTCTGATGAATTTTAGGTTTTTTACTACTCAAATCTATCCTGATTTTTATACTAAAAACCCAACCTCGACCCGATCCAAATATATTAACAATTTAAAATAGTTGAAATAATATATTTTATAATAATATATTTATTATATTTTAAACAATTACATTAATATATTTTATAATATTTTTAATAATTAAATAATATTATTAATAAAATAAAAACAAAAATTCTTAAAATATTAAATATAGTAAAAAAAATAATTAAATAATATTATTAATAAAATAAAAATAAATATTCTTAAAATATTAAATATAATAAATATAAGTAAAAATTAACCATGTCGAGTCGGGTCGGGTCTTTTTTACCTTAAACTCAACCCTGCTCTGCCCCAAAGTTATATGCTATATAACACACCCCATCCCGATTCCCTAAATTTCAAAAAAAAAATTGCTCCCATAGGATTGGGTCGGAACCTATCAGGTTCAGGAATTTTGACTATCCCTAGTCATGATACAATTGATTTCAATTTAAATGTCTTTCTATAATCATATATAACATGCATACACATATATCATGTTCTATTTTATAACTCAAATTTGATTTTCAGTCGAATTTGTTTACATTTACTCACCCTTAATCAAACACATCGTTTTTAAAGACTAATGTGGATAAAAAAATGTAGTGTCAAATTGATAACAATTATAGAATTCCAGGGTCAAGAACTGATTTATCCCAAAAAACAAATATCCATTGCATGAGTTTCGGGTCTTCCCTTCTTACTCTGAGTTAGAATTAATGGATTACAATTCTTTCTTATTTTAAATAAAAACGAGGGTAAATTATGTATTTAGTACCTAAATTATCAGTTTTGATTAGTTTTAATATCTAAACTTTTAATTTTTTCAAAAGCATACAGAATGTTTAATTTTTATTTCATATTAGTACCCATGTTCAAATTTTAACATTATTATTTGGGGGGGGGGGAATTGAAATTCTAGATATTAAAACAGATCAAAACTGATAGTTTAGATACTAAACGCTTTAAGTTTTTAATGGTGAGTATTAAAATGAAACAAAAACTAAACGTTAGGCATAAAATTAAATTGAAAGTTTAAGTACTAAAACGCATGAAAATTGATAGTTAGGTGCTAAATGCATAGTTTTCCCTAAAATCTAAATCTCTAAACATTCCAGCTTTTCGCATAAAATTAAATTGAGCTCCATCATCTGGAAGTTTGAGGTATGAGTTCCTTCTATTTTCCTTTTCATTTGGAATGTCAAAACATACATACATGGGGTAATTATTTCACATCAAGAAAAAAAGAAGCATGAAAACATGGCGGTTAAATATTTCTATGTCCCTACTTGTGTTTTTTACTGCAGAAATTGAGTCGAAGAAGTAGTGAAATACGATATAGATCAAGATAGCCTACCAAGTGTCTGACAAATTGCCTCTGAGAAAAAAGTTTGTCTTTTTTTTATGTTTCCAGGTAAAGTGTTGGATCCAGCAATTGCTTTGGTCATCAGAAAAGATGGTTTCTTGTTTCCCATCGACGCCCAAGAAGCTGGCGATGACAGTGGGGTGCTTCCTTGCTGGTGCTGGCCTTCTTGCACTCGGCACGCATTTATCTTACGTGAACGTCGCCCCGCAGCAAGCTCGAACTAAAGCTCGAAACGACTTCGTTAAGGAGAGGTTAAGGAAGAAATATGGGAAACCATAGAATTGCATTGCACTGCGGTTCGTCCTCGGTTGTAATCACATCTCTGCTCTCGTTTAATGATTATAATAAGAAATGGCATTAAAACGAGAATGTCACTTTGGTTGACACCATAAATAACCTGGTGAGTCGAGTTCGTTAATAATTTTTTGTTTCGAAGTGCAATCCTATTTATCGAATATTCGAAATCC